CTTGTACTTACATCGCACTATGATTTTAGATACGGCTGCAACTTGGCTGTGTTGATGGTTGCTTCGAGTGCCTTTCAGGGCCACTGACATGGATAAGGCTCTTGCCGCTCGGTGATTCGGTTTGGGTTTAGGTTTCTATGGTATAGGGTTTGGGTCGCCTTGCGGGTACTGTAAGTACCGTTGAGACTGCTTGCAAGCACGATCAAAAAGCCCTATTTCCAAGTATCCATGAACCTTGAAGTCTTCAGTGGGTGTAACTACGATGACATTCTTGCAACCGCTAACTAGCTCTCCAGCATCGATAGATGGCACTGAGGTCTGTATGCAGTATATGCAAGGGCCATGCGACGTGAAACGGAGATTCGAAGGTTGGCCTTGGGGTTGCGAAATGGTGCGGCGGTTCGGGTTTAGGATTGAGGTCACAGGATAAGGTCTCGAGATAACTTAGTACGACTGCGTGTAGCTGCAGCTGGAGGTTTGGAGGTTCATGGGGCTTCGATTGCGCTCGCGTTTTGGGGACGTGTATAGCCTGGAGGTCGCTACTGCAGCTTCAGTCGGAAGGCTCCGACTCTAGAAAACTTACAAGCATAAGCCCTAAGCCGTCTGCGACGGAATCTTTGTCACTTGAGATACCATTGGCAAGAAATGCCGTGCCGCGGCAAGGATTTCACAAAACATCGCCGCCAAGAGCCTCAAGCCGATAACCCTGTTTAGAGACCCATGCACCTCTGATGCCACTTTTCCCCGTGCATTTGAGGCTGAGCCGAGGCATCTTCCCTTGCTCTGGTAAGTCGAGGTCGTGTACAGCGTACACCCCATGGATGGGTGCATATCCTGCTTGGACATCAGAAAGGTCTCGTCTTCTCCTCCTGCCGGCGCTTGTTGCTGGAGTCTCCTTTCCGCCAGCTGCACCCTAAACCCTAAACCCTAGTCTCTCGCGGACCCATGGCGCATCCTCCGCTCAGACAACTGCACAGACTGTACATCTTGAAACCACTGCGCATAATGCTTCTATGCGGGGTTCAGTGACATGCCCGAAAAAGAAGAATCAGACTCCAAAAGATCAAGAAGCGTCTGCTGTTCACCTCAAGCCCGCAAGCTCAAGCTTGAAATTCGAAACACTTGGACCCTCACGACACAGAGAGCCCCCGAAGTGCGAAACCTTAAACCCTAAACCTCTAAACCCTACCTTAACCCCAAGTAACCTACCTTTTTAAGGACTTACATAAAGAAGTCATATTAGGGAAGCCTAAAAAAGGTAGGCTCCTCAGGGGTCCAGGTAAACCCTACGAAGCCCCAAAGTCTAAGTCTGAGACATGTAGGACCGTCTCGAGTAGGATACCCAGTAACCTAAGAATACAAAGGCCTCTCTTTTAGGGTTTAGGGTTTAGGGTTCTTTTGGGATGGTTTAGGGTTTAGGGTTTAGGGTTCTTTTGGTATTGGGTAACTTCATAAGGAACCTAGGACTGCAAGAAGGGAATAAGGGTACTACTGGGCATCCTAGTCGAGTAAGGCTTAGGTTCAGAGGCTCAACTGTGCCTTAGTCATTAGGGGCGCAGGTCCATAGCAAACTCTGGAAAACTATCCAAGCTTCAGCCCAGAAACCCTAACTCTGAACCCTATAATTCTAAACCCTACCCTAGAGCCTAACTGCACAACCCTATATAAACCTGAACCCCATAAGGGAAGCATCAAATCTGCGGTCCAGTTGCCAGGTATTGCTCCGACGATTACCGCTGCTTTCGGCGCCTTTGCCCGGTTTCTGAGCTTAGGGTTCAGGTAAGATGAAAAGGCCCTTGACTTTTGGGCCCAAAGCCCATACGATATATGGCTTTGAGGCTATTTTGAGCCTTAGGGCATGCTCCAGGATTCAACGGAGTGGATTGTACGGCATAGGTTTAGATGGTTGGAGTTTAGGCTTCAAGCACATCCTCTCTTTGGTTCGGTCGACTTTCTGATCAAGGAGCCCTCAGCCCACCACCACGACGCATATTCTAAGGCTTTGGGGGGGGGCATGCAGGTTCGCTGAGATATGTTAGCCAAGCCTTTGGGTTAATAACGAAAGTCACAAAACCAGGATGGCTATGATTCCCTGAGGGTCCATGTACTCATATGGTATATACATTGGCCTTAATGTAGTCCCTATATAGGTATTTTGGGGCTCATGTATCTCTATATGGATACATGGACAGCTAGGGATTCTTATCATCACCACCGACATCTTCTCGCGATCATGCCATTCGTTAAAATCAACGTAGTCCTGAGGTCTCGACCTCCTCGTCGCTGGGCCTCGTTGGCACCTGAGCAGTCGGTGGTCGGTTTTGGGATACGCGTAGCTCTCTACATCAGGTTTAGGGTTTAGGGTTTAGGGTATTCAGGGCCTCCAAAAAAACGCGAGAGCAAAAATCAAGATGGGGATGTCTTAAATAGACCCCTTATAATGAGGCCCAATTATGTAGGGATATCCCTATAAACTGCTTATGTTTATGTCCTTCTGAGCTTTTCCATAATTTTCGAGCTTTCATGATTAGGGTACGTTTTAGGGATCTTTTTGTACGGGTGTTGTACTATCTTGGGGACTTAAAAACCTAATTTACAGAACTACCCATACGTTGACACATCCCGAAACGCGAGCCGTGGTTTCGCGTGTTGCTCGTGTACTCGGCTCACATGTAGCTGCTGCTGCTGCCGCTGCTGCTGCCGCTGCCGCTGCCGCTGCCGCTGCCGCTGCCGCTGCCGCTGCCGCTGCCGCTGCCGCTGCTGCTGCTGCTGCTGCTGCTGCTGCTTCCTCTGGGTGCACAACTAGGGCAAGATCCGTAGCCGTAGCCACAGCAAGTTGGCTGGACAACTTGTCGTGTCCATTTCAACCTGAGTTCCGTCGTAAGAGCGTAGTAGAATGAGCGACACACGGGGAGCTTTGTCCAGCTCTCGATCATGACGTTTACACTGTCATTGTGAACCACAGTCAGGCGATTGCCTTCAGAATCATGATGGGGCCAGGCCGTGAGAACTAAGTTCTAGATAGTTCACACGAGCAACCACAGCAACATGAAGATGCCAAGTAATGATGACCTGAGCCTGAATCACTCATGCCCTCGATCTTGGCCTACGGCTCTCTAATCCCTCAACGGCCCTAGGCTTTCTTCCTGCCTGTCCTGTCCCGAGGAGTTCTCAACCCACAAACCTAAACCCCAAAACCCCTAAGCTCGACTGTTTGATCCTGAATCCCAAATCCCGACAACCCCGAATAGAAATGAAACATGAGTAAGCCTTGTACCAAATCAACTCACGCTGATACCGAGGCAGATGCTGACTGTCAGCATTGCGGGCCATGCGGCGGAAGCATTAGTATGGGGTCTTAGGGTTTAGGGCTTGGGCTTCAGGGACTTAAAGCAAGCCTTGTTGGATGTAGGGCCAAGCTTTCGGGTTTGGGAGTGGGGGCTTGGGGCCTAGTATGTCGTGAGCCGTTCTAGGGTTGATCCCATTCAGTGCGGCCTGAGATCTATTGCTCCAAGCTTCCACACGACATAGCTTGAAGTTGTGCGAAATCTACAAGGGAGTTTCCCAAAATAGGGGACCCTAATATAGTACCCTACATAGTAGGATGCTTATTATAAGGACCCCCAAATAAGGTACCCCTAATTTTCGGAAACTCCCACAAGGTAAGGATCAAATTGGAGTCGTTGGCTCCGGCTTTGGGGTTCAGGCCCTGGGTCAGAAATGGATCTTGGTTTTGCCTTGTACATATGGAAGGTTACATTCTAGAGGTCCTGCTCTTGGGGTCAATAGTTGTCTGGAACTTCCATATGTGCCGGTTTAGTATGTTCACAAGAGCTTCTGGTTCTGATGGCTGTGCCGGTGAAACAAGCCCTTGTTCCAGGTGCCAATGGCTGCAGGGTTACTCTGCAGACATATTGCTTCAGAAAGCACGGCAAGCCTGATAATATAGAACACGAAATTTCATTAAAGCAATGTTCCAAATCGGGCCAAGGGTTCAAGCCTTCTGCGCTTGCGGCCAGATCGGAGTAGCGCGTCGTTTGGCCGCCATTATGAATCTTGGGTCTCAGGGGTTTCAGGTATTCTACTACAGGTTTTACGGAACTGCCAAATAGTAGTATAGATAATTGTTGGCCCCCATATTCACATCCATTTCTGATGTTTGAATTGTCAATCCTTCAAACCAAAGTTCATTTCGGGCCAATGCAGAGGCTGGCTTATGCTTTTATTTTGGGTACGGCCCCCCATACAGTAACCGTCTATAATAGGGCTACTATTAAGGGCCTTATATATCTATATTCTGAATATTATCCAACTGTTACTGAGTGGGGGCCGTACCCAAGTTTTACTGACAGAGGAGATACTGAACTTGGTCCTATGCTCCCACGACAGTGAACTAAGTTGTAGCGTTCAGCTAAGCGTCATACACTCGAAGCTGCCCCCACCCTGTAATAGTGACTATAAGGATTATATTAGGGCCCTATTATATTCCTATTATACCACTATAAATTACAGGGTGGGGGCTCCTTCTAAGTCAGACAGGTAATGTCCCCAAACCACCACATGCCTCATCACGCCCATCAATCCAACCCCCGTATTGAGTCTCAAAATTCCGACCAACCCAACACCCCGCAGCTCAGCAACAACCAAACGGTCAAAGACGAAATCTCTGAAACCCGGCGTGCCAGCCGACATCTAAGCAACTTCATATAAACAAACTTTGAAAAACTTCTGCACGACCCTCCCGAAGCAAATCCTATCATAACCCTATAAAATCCGTCATGGTTCTATTGAAGCCCTTACTCAACAAATACGCAAGCGTTGCGATGGAAACATCCTGACGACACCGAAGGGAAGCCACAACTGGAAAGGGCTCACTCACCTTTTAAGTTTTTAAGTCCCCCCCCCCCCCCCCTAAAGGCCCCGACCCCCCCACCCCACTAGGGTTTAGGGTTTATAGGGTTTAGGGTTTAGGGTTCTTCCGGTCCCGCTTTGAAGCCCACCTTGAGTCGACCCTGATCCCAGAAATCGAACCAAGTCGGCTCACGGCCGACCTCGGAAGGGGCGTGGGGCTTAGGGTTAGGGTTTAGGGTTTATTGCAGGCTTTGGGCTTTCGGATTTTTAGGATTTAAAGTTTATAGGGTGCGGCTTAGGCTGAGAGTTTGCAGGCTTATAGGGCTTTAGGATGCTAGGGTTTAAGACTTATATAGGGTTTTTTAGGATTAAGGGCTTAGCGTTTAGGGAGGCTCCGGTGTAGGTCTACAGGGAATAGGGATTAGGGTATAGGGCTTAGGGTTTTTAGCTAGGTTTTGCAGCATGTCTTTCATGAGGATTCAAAGGGGCTTGCTTCAGCTGTTCGGGGCTTTTTGGTTTCAAGTCTTGGGTTCATGGCATCAAGGTTTGTTTGGCGCAGCGGGCTTCGGCTATTGGGCGGTGGAGTTTACGGCTTCAGGGCTTTATGCGTTTTGGTTTGTTTTGGTTTGCCGGTTTACCGGCTCCTTGAGGTTTGATTGAGCGTGTCTTCAGTTGTTGTTGGGCTGCGGTGTTCGCTGAATTCAACCGCTTACTGGTGCAGTGCTTGCAGAAAGCTCGAAACGCTTAACCTAAACAACAAACTGAAACTCCAAACCTCCAATCCTAAACTGGACCTGCACCCAAATCCTTGAACCAGAACTCGCAATTCCTAAACGCGACTTTGCAGAAGCAGGCACCCGCTGTTTCACCGAGATGGCCCGGTCGACGTAGGCGAGGGCCTGCTTGCTCCCTCCTCCTCTTCTGGGGTCTTGGGTCTACTCTGATCCTGGGCCTAAGAATCATACCTATAGTCTATAGTCTCCATTGTAGTTCATTTTCTGGATAACCAATTCTATGGCTAGAATCCTGTACTATAATGAAGTTGGTTAAGCAAAAACGGACTACCATGGGGACTATAGGTATACTCCTCCGGCCCCTCGAATGCTAGCCTCACTCCTACTGTCCGAATCCTAAAGCCAAACAAGATTAGTGGTGCCTGTGGAGGCTTTCTTTATAGGGCTGGAAACTAATCCTGCCAATCCTACACAAAGGAGACGACGCTCGTGATTATTTTAGGCCATTTCCTCCTGGCCACGAGGGCGTGCTTCTTTCCCGTTAAACGGTACGGTACTACGAGGATTTCGCAAGACAGAGACAGTTACTGGCCCCTACAGCCCATGCCATACGCTAAGGGTCCACACACCCATGTAGTAGAAACACTGGCCCAAACGTACTGCCTACTTAGTTCCTTCAGGGCAAAAGTGTAAACTAGAGGGGCACATGGACCATTATACGACAAGTATCCCTAAACCCTTATGGTATCCTTAAAGAACCCTTTAAAGGAACCCGGATGGGCATGGACCCTTAGGGATACACGAGTGCCGTGCTGGGTGGAAGCTGCAGGGTTAGCCAGGGATTCGTCGGCAAGCATGAAACCCACGTACTAAGCACAGTTCTTCAGCTACAGCTGAAAACTTGTGAAACTTGTTATGAAGAGTGTTCCTTACCGTCCCGGTTATACTCATTTCTGAAAGTACACGCAGTAATACGTCAACATTTATAATTTATAACTACCACAACCCTTGTAATGCCCAGAAGCAATTTGGAACCAAAACTGTGTGACCACTTTAAACAAGGTTCTGCTCTTCCATTGCGATAAACCCGCACAACAACACTAAACCCGAACGCCCGAGAGGCTCTAAACCTTCGGGCCTCAAACCTCCTACCGCCACAAAACCCAACCGGAGAACCCTGAAATGCTAAACTAGATCTTCAAGGACCCCCCTGAACCTTAACCCGAGAGTGGACTTCATAAAGCCCCGAACTTCAATCCTAAACCCATAAGACAGTTGGGACTTTCCCAAAACAGGGGAACCTAATATAGCTCCCTAAATAATAGGATCCTTCTTATAAGGACCCCAAAGTCAGGTACCCTCCATTTTCTGAAACCCCCAGTTGGGACCCTAAACTTCACCCCTAAACCCCCTGAAAACCCCCCGCCTCGTCCTCTTTGGACATCGCCGAGAGCGCCCAGGCGATATTCCGATACCTCTCGTACGATTTGGGAGTTTCCCAAAATAGGGGACCCTAATATAGTACCCCAAATAGTAGGATCAAATAAGGTACCCCTAATTCTCGGAAACTCCCATTTGTTTCTGACAGTGTAACTATTATTGAATACTGGGTTGTAGTTTTGGGGCGCTGAAAAGTATTTATGAATAGGTACCTCTATAGGAACCATAAGGGAAATTAACAAGTTTCCCAAATTGCCACCTAGAATATATTATGCATGCACGTGCGCGTGAAGGATTTGTTGCATGTTTCCAGATGGGGCTGTTCGACTATCTTGCAATCAGGGTTACCCTTTTGAACCCGGCTTTTTGAGCGCCCGTTGATGCTTTGGTTGGCTTGTCGGGTCGGGAGACTCTCATCCAAACTCCTGTTTAAGTAGCGGCCTTTCGTGCTGCTTGGCTCGGCTTAGCTCGTTTTTTCTTTTCATACGTTTGGCAGCTTGAGCCGAGCCAAGCCAGGCTAAGCCATGCCGAAGCCAGGCGAGGCCAGGCCAAGCCAGGCCGCACCCAGAAAAACAAGAAACCAGGCCAAGCCAAACAAAGGCAGGCCTAGCCAAGCCAACCAAGCCGAGCCGCCGTAAACAACAACGCCGGGCCCCCAGCTGAGTTGGACAAGCTACTTGGATGCCAAGGAGCGCTTTTGCCAACATGGAAGTCCCGGAAGAGTCAGATAATTAGGAGTAATATAGCAACAGTGCGAGTCCTAGGACGTGCAAGCATGTTGGCCTGTCGCACAGTCATCAGACCACATCTTTCGGATTATAGTCTTGAAACTATAGGTATATAGCAATAGGGGGTTTAGGGGTTTAGGGTGATGAGTAGTAATCTGATTCTTTCGGCTTTACTTGCAGTAGAACACAACCCTGTAGCCTGAGCCCCATGAAACCCCCAGCTCAGGCGATGAACCCTAAACTAAATCCTAAACCCTGAACCCTAAACCCTGAACCCTAAACCCTGAACCCTAAACCCTGAACCCTAAACCCTAAGAGGGGCACAGCGTCTCGAAGAACTCCCACAGACGAGCTTCTTCATCTTCCTACGCCGGACGGCTGGGAGGCTGGAAGCTGAAGTTGGCGGGTTGGGGAAATTCTACTACCACATTTATACCCTAAGGCTCCAAAGTAGTTCCTTTTGGGGGTTCATAATCAGAATCCTATAAGGTAATCCCAAAAAGGAACTACTATGGAGCCTCTGGGTATCCATACATGCATACAAAAATAATGCGCTATGATATGTTATGATGCGATAGGATACATAAGGTTAAATAAGCAAGGACATATGATACGCACTATACCAGCGTCCCAGTGCAATAGCAAGTTCACCTAGCACCCATTGCGAGAAAGCTGCTCGCTGCCTCAATACGACCCAGCACTACATCAAAGGGGCAAAGGAGGGACCCTAAATGGGGACCCCTACCCTATAATGGGCTATATAATGGCTATTTTAAGGGTATATTACCTAGGGGTCCTTATTAAGGGTCCCTCCTGTTCCAGTTGGACTACAGAACCACAAACTGTGAGTCGGGTGCCCCAAAACTCCGAAATCCGCAAACCAAAGCTGAGGGCACTAAGCCCTCAACCTTTTCCCCCAAAGCCCGTAACTCTAGAACCCTAAACCCGGCAAGCCCATTCCTGCCACTACTGGGCCCCGAAACTCAAGGAGACAACGCGCAGACCCTCTATGAGACAGCTGAGTCGGTGCTTATTGAACTCAGAGAGTTGCTGCCGAACCTGTAAACACCGAAAACTACGGTAGTACACGGTATGTGTCTATGATACCATAGTAATACGCAGAGAATCGGAATACTATTGCTAAGTGTTCGGGCTGCTGATTTTCAACCCACAGCCACTGTAGAGTCACAAGAATTTTCAAAACCTTCGCAGCAACCATATTTAGAGTTTAGGGTTTAGGGTCTAGGTTTTAGGGTTTGGGGTAAAGGGATAAGGGTCGAGGGTTTCGGGTTTCGTGTTCTGGATTGTAGCCAGGCTCTCCTATACTGAACTTAGAACCCTAGCAAAAATTATAATTTTAGCTGTTTCTTAGGGGTTATAATAACCAAAGATTAAAAATTATTTCTAAGTACCCCTAAGTCTCAGACCCTGCCCATGCCTCGCCCCTGCTCTCAGGCTCCTCCTGCAAAATGCTGGCAGCCCAGAGACTCCAATATCCCTTAATTATGGAAATATACCTAAGGGTTCCTTTAAAGGGATCCTTTAAGGGATCTATAGGGTTTAGGGTTTAGGGGGTTCTAGCAATTATGCCATGATTAGGGAATATACCTTAAATCATAGTAGGATCCCTAATATGATTTAAAGTATACTCCTTAATTAAGGGATATTGGAGTCTCTGGGAGTAATTGGTTCGGTGCTCTGGAAGGGTTCTCGAAGGGTTCCAGAAGGACCGTTCAGAAAGGGGTACATAAGGCCTCTATAGCAAGCTTCGGGGACAAAGGGCTGCGGCCAGTATCGTAGGTGGATGAGGGAGCGCATCTCAGCACACATACATGCATGCATCCTTGCATGGATACAGTGCAGGCATGCATGCATTTATGCATCCATGCACCCATGCATGCATATGTGCATTCCTTCGTACGTACAAAAACTCACGCAAATACAATACAATACACTACAACAGAATACAATAAGGTGAAGTAACATGCATTACACTACATACATACGTATATACATACATGGATACGTACAGACAGACAGGCAGACAGACAGACAGACAGACAGACAGACAGACAGACAGACAGACAGACAGACAGACAGACAGACAGACACACACACACAAACAGACGTGAGTGCATACACATATATACATGCATACATACACGTGCACATACATACATACATAAATACATATGTGCGTACGCACATACACGCATACGTACATACCTACATCATCCTACATACGTACATACAAGCAAACACATCTATATCTGTATCTATATATATGTATGTGAATATATATATATATATATATATATATATATATATATACACATGCACACATACATGCCAAAGTGCATACGCACTCATAAGCATCCACATATTCAGAATCATACAAGGGGCATGCATTTGTGTAAGCATGTATGTATGTATGTTTGATGGCTTGCACAAATATTTCACGTTTGTGCATTGTGCATATAAGAGCATTGCTTGGAAAGGTTTACATAACATATACTAGAATGCTTTCCTTCCTTCGAATTGTTTTGCTTCCTGGGAGTCTTGGGACCACCATCCTGGCTGTCACAGGAGGCACGCAGTCGAGTTGGACTGACCGGGTTGGGCAGAACTGCGAGGGGTCTTGTGGGATTTAGGGTTGAGGGCTTAGGGATTATTTAGGGCTTAGGGGCTTAGGGCTTGGGGGTATAATGAACTGCGTCTTGTGGCCTATAATTACCGTATAGCCTATAATTATCGTATACTTTACCCAGAGGCTCCATAGTAGTTCCTTTTTGGGATTACCTTATAGGATTCTAATTATGAACCCCAAAAAGGAACTACTTTGGAGCCTTAGGGTATACATGGAATATGAGTCCCCCCCGAAACCCTGCGCTCCAAAAGCAGAACTCTCCACTCTGAACCCTTCAACACCGAACCCGGCCCCCCGACCACTCTTAGGGCTTCTATAGGGTTTAGGGTTTCTATGCTGAACTCAAAACCCTAGCAAAACTTATAATTTTAGCTGTTTCTTAGGGGTTATAATAACCAAAAAATATTAAAAATTATTGCTACGTACCCCTAAGTTTATAGGGTTTAGGGTTTATAGGGTCCCCAAATCAGAAAGAAGCAGTCCTTCACCAGGTCCTCGACCTCTCGGAGGATCCTCAGGGCATCTTCATGACGGGCCTGGCAGAAGGCTTTGGGCTTAGGGCTTAGGGGTTTAGGGTTTTGGGTTTAGGGGTTTAGGGGTTTAGGGGTTTGGGCTTAGGGTCACTGAGGATGTCGCGTTGAATTTGGTTGGTTGGGTGGTTGGTTGGTTAGCTGGTTGGTTGGTCGGTTGGTTGGCTGGTTGGTCGGTTGGTTGCAGTTAGGGTTTAGGGCCTAGGGGTGTGGATGGGAGAAGTCGAACACTGAGCATGACGAGATGCAAGAAAGCTGGCGATTTTGAGCTCGCAACGGCGGGCATCCCCATGTCCGCGACTGCTGACAGCTTCGCGGCAGCAGCAAGTGAAATCGGGGGGGGCCCTAAATCCTTAAAACGTCGGAGCAGACCGAAACATCGGAGGGCACGGGAGGGATGAACCCATTGTCGACTTCCGCAGCTGCGAGCGACTCTGATCCAAGCTGAAGGGTATTCGTCGTAGAGGTCCCATCAGACACATCGTCAACGTCTTCAGTCGTATCTGCCTTTTGTTGGTTCGTTAACGTGAGCCGCAGTGAGCATGATCCCAGGATCAACGTTACCATGAACACGATGGTTGAAGGCCATGCATCAGCTGCGATGAAGGTAAACAAGAAAAAGGCACCCCCAACAGCGGCTGCCGGCACAGTACACACAACGAGATTCAGCAGCCCAAGCCAAACGTCCCGGACGGTTGGAAACATGCAGGCAAAGACGGTTGACAACGTCACTGCCAGTAAACCGGTTACAATGACCAGTGTAACCACAAAGGCCAATTCCAGGATGACAAAGCGCCAAAAGTCTTCCAGAAAACCCTGTTGCTGGTGGACCGTTCCTTGATCGAATATGAGCCAAAGTAGCCTCCCAATTGCATCTGCAAGCCATGGCATAGTGGCTGCACTCAGCATTTTGATGAGAGGCGCGGTGGGGACGGTGTGCGGCATTTGTCTCAGCACGGAGCGTCCCAACCTCACACGGCAGACCCGTAGGTTGAAAGGAACGAAATGAAGGAATCAGGTCTGGCAGGGTATGCACGGGGATGAGTTCTCCATGTAGCTCACCCCCCTATACTACTGCAGGACTCCGGCAAACCCTAAGCCGATGTCCCCGATATCCTCAAAAAAGGATATCATGCCAACATCACCAGACGTGTAGATGGCCTGTGATGAACCAGGGAGTTGAATCGCCGCAGATGCTCGTCGCCTATGTCCGTCGGGCGGCCATACCAGTCTTCCAGCTTGCGGTAGACCAGCTCACGGTCACATGGGATGTCTTCTCCTGCACGGAAATTCATGGGGTTTTGGGTTTAGGGTTTAGGGTCAGCCCTAAACCCTAAACCCGCCAGTGAAAACTGCAACAGGTTGAGAGCTTCGGAGGGGTTTAGGGGTTTAGGGGTTTAGGGTTTAGGGTGTAGAACATCGAGGGGGTGGGGGGGGGGGGGGATTTAGGCTTCACGCTCCAGGCAAGGCTGGACAACATCTGTGATCTGGCTAGCTCTGGGAGCTTCACTCGGTTCCACCGGTGCCCGAAAAGCGGATAAATCGAGGCATTCTTCCCCCAAGTCTTATAACAAGGATCCTACTATTTAGGGTACTATTTTTAGGGTCCCCTATTGTCGGAAACTCTCAAATCATCCCTCTTCCGTATGCCGCGAGGGATCCTGTGTCCGGGTGTTTGTGGCCGTTTGCGCAACAGAAGCACGCAGCTCTTTGGACCTCAAACGTCTTCAGCTGCTTTGGCACGTGCTGCAGTTGCTTGGCCATGCGTGCACTGAAGGTGCCAAAGGGCACTCCGAAGAGAATTACAGGACCAAGCATCCAGCCCAAAGCCCCTCCAACGACAGCCCATAGATCCTGGCCCAGCTGAACCCCCAGAGTACCATACTCGAGCAGTCCCAGAACGATGAGCAAAGAGGAGGACACCCAGCTGAAAAAAAAGAAAGCCGCTAGAATGGTGATACCAGCATGCACAGGCATGATCAATATGTGCTTGTGCTTGTTGTGATCCGTCAGGAATGCGGCAATCTCGTAGGCACACCATAGTCCTGGGCTGTTTTTGCATACCAGAAGCCTTTTCCGTTCATTCCCTGTAGACCGATATGCAATCACCAACAAATCGACAAAGTGATGTTTCAATTTCAGCTTAGAGGCTGCTGAAGTACCTCAGAGGTGTGTCTCTGTCCGGGCAGGATTCGGGGTTGTGGGCTTTAGGCTTTCGAAACTTGCTTTTGCAAGGTAGGATTTGGAGCAGCGACTGCTTGAAGTCTTGATCCTTGAAAACGATCTATATACTCTTTACCTGCATAGTAGTTCCTTTTTGGGATTAGCTTATAGCATTCTGCATACGAAGGCCAAAAAGGAACTACTATGGGGCCTATGGGTACCTGCAAATCTAGGTTCCTGAATAGCTCCTGAAGAAGCAGGTACCGTTCTTCCTGCTATTCGGCTTGGATAAGGGAACCCCGAAAGAGCAACTACCCAGGAACCTAGGAATAATATTCATGAAACTCCTACAAACAAGCATTGTGCAGCAAACATGCCTGAAGCAAAGGAGAGTCACAGACTTTATTCTAACAAACCCACACAGCCACTGTTCAGCGAAAGCACCTTGGCGACCACAGAACCACCAGCCGCTTGGAATGGTTGAGGAAGGCAGCTAAGCCAAGAATGCCTTTTTTCTTCAGCTCAGCTTGTTCAGGACTTTGCGCGATGCAGAATTTGTCCAGAAAGACCATGATGGGTGGAAGCACTGTGCTTCGGAGTCTCTGCCAGAAACATAAGAAGAACAGATGAACCACATAGACAAGGCATGAGCTCCAGTCAGAATCTGGCAGTACCCCGGCAATCCGCGCTACAGCGATAAAGGGGCAAGCGAGAATAGCTGCAACAAGTGCTGCTCGTGAGTTGTAGACAACGAGCATGGTGCAAAGCTTGGCCCAGCGGGATGTTTGCCAGTCGTGACTGAGGAAGTCGTCGAAAGACTCGGCTTGTCGGCTCAGCTTGTAGTTTGCAGCATCGACACGGAACATGCCAGGGTCTGGTGGCTTCCAATGCTTAGCCCACCCTCCCAAGCAGACGTGCAAGGGCACTCCACGAAGCAGCTCGGGCTCCAGTGTGGTTAGCAGCTCTGGTGCTCCCATCTCGCAACGTGTGTGAAGGCCAACGGGTTGGGGCTAGAAGTGGGGCCAAGCGGGCTACAAGACGTGTTGGACGGGCGTGATTGTAAAGCTATGTCAGCTATGTCTAACTAGCTCTAGTCAGCCGCTACCACGTTTTGGTGTTGCTGCAGGACTGCATTCAGAAACCCTAAACCACTAAGCCCTAAACCCCTGTGTTAAACCCCTAAACCCCTAAGCCCTGAACCCCCCCCCCCCCCCCCCCCCCAAAAAAAAAAAAAAAAGCTAAACCCTCCAAGCCCTAAACCCTCAACCCCTTCGGGCTCTGGAGGGTTCTTCTACTGGAAAGGATGCTCCCCGGTCTGATCCCACGCGGCTTTCCGGTGGCGTAGCTTTTTGCTGAGACCGCCGAGGAATCTAAGGGCCTTAGGGGTTTTTCTAAGGGTTGATTTTAAGGGGTCTATAGTAAGGGTTACTGTAAGGGTACAAGAATGTGCGGTTAGGGGTTCCTCTAAGGGTTCCTTGTAAACGGATCTATAAGGGTTAAAAAGGGCTATTATAAGGGTTTAAAGGGATCTTTAAGGACCACTATCAGGGCTATTATAGGGGGCCTTGACAATTACCTGTACTATTCTGGGTGTTCCTAATTTTAACTATGGTTTCCTCTCCCCCAAAGCTCTATTTTAATTATCTATCATGGCTGCATAGTGATGCACCAGAACAAGGGCTCGGGGGTGGTTCGGACATCCTGAACAGAAGCGTACTGGCCTGGCGATGAACCTGGCTTCGAATATGAGGCCTTAACACCTTCAGTTGAGTTTTGCAGCCTAGTATACGTTATTCAAGCATATGAGGGACTATGAAGGGAAATTGGTACGATACTTAATTCCGATCCTGTTAACTTGGCTTTCGTTGTTACGGGTGTGGACTTCGTCGGATGTTCCTGAAACCTTATATAGTGGCTCAGGTTTAAGGACTTTCATTGCGGATGCAACTGTGTAGGTGTAACTTATAAGTTCTGGGTACCCGTAAAACTTCGAGTGGTCTGCTGTGGTATAAGCCAACACAAATGTTCCATGCAGACCTCCGTCCACAGCCTGCGTGCTATGTGCTGGGCCCAATGGGTAAGTTTATTTGCGTCGGCAGATGAATGTTTGTCAATGACATGAGAAAGCATGCATGTGATGCTTACGAACTCGGATGCTAAGGCAGCACAACAAATGACGTCACACGGCCGTAGGCCGTAGGACTGCAGTGTCGAAACTTTGCGAACGCAGCGTGGTGATGTCAAAGCATGCTCGTAGTGCCATTGAGTTGTTAGTTAGTATTTGTTACCACTATTACTCTCATGTCATTGTATCATTGCCGCTATTATTAGTGACTACCCTAAGGCCCAAAGTAGTTCCTTTTGGGGGTTCATATACAGAATCCTATAAGGTAATCCCCAAAAGGAACTACTTTAGGGCCCTTGGGTATTCTTGTAGCAGGTTGTCATTATTGAGATGATCTCAGGCTGACATGGCCTGGGGTTGCAGCAGAATGGATCTGGGAGTTTCCGAAAACAGGGCACCCTAATATAGTACCCTAAATAGTAGGATCCTTAATAAAGACCCCAAAATAAGGTACCCCTAATTTTCGGAAACTCCCATCTAAGTGTACTTGAAGCCACCCAAACTGAAAACCGGGCCGCAGCTTCTTGCGTCCCGGAGCCACGCTTTAGGGTGTCATTTTTTTATTAAGGGTGTCGTTTTTGTTTGTTTAAGGGTGTCGGGTTTAGGGCTCAGGGGTTTAGTTGCGATTTAGGGTTTAGGGCTCAGACAGCTTTAGGCTGTGGGGCTTAGGGTTCAGAGGTTCAGGAATTAAAGCGCTTCGACTGCGCTTAGAGTCCAG